TATATTTAATTTATATATAATTATTATATAGTTAAGATATGTAATTTTTATAGATTTACACTAAAATCTTTCATAGCATAATATAAATATTTTTAAAGAGAAACTTTATAAAACTGCGTTAACAAGATTTAATATGAATAAGTAAATACGTGTAAGTAATATCGAACTACATAAATGCCGTTTATATTAAATTTATGAGATAATTTAGGGATTTTCATACGTGAATATATCAAATACCATTTTATAAAACTATAAATTTTAGAAAATAAATCGTATTCAACTTAAATTTTCAGAATAAATTATCTATTTTGAGACTACGGAATGAGTTAGGTGAATTTATATATTTTAAAGCCCATAAACATCAGTACTTTTAGAGTATAGATAATAAAAAGACTATATTTTTAAGTTTATGAAAGAAAAATGTAAAGATTTCTATTCGAAATGATCTTCTTGAAATTACGGATTTATGAATGTTAAATTTGAAAGCTATTAATAAATATAATTTTTTATAACTGGGTGATAAACTTAAGCTTATATAAAATTACATATTTATATTAGTTTTAAAAATAATAAATAATCTATAATTTATTAAATAAAAAAAAAATGTTTAATTTTTACGGTTTATTATTTACACCTTGTCATAGGGACAAAACAGATTTAATATCATTTATTATCAGGAAAAACACAGAAAATATAAATTTACATCAACTATAGTCCGTGCAGAGAAAGAATAGACACGAGTAAGTCTATGCGGGAAGAGTCTATGTCAGATGAAAGGGATGGAAAGAGACACGTAGAAGTTGACATTTGCATCACAGTAATAAAATTTGTAAAAAAAAGGTAAAACAGTAAAATTATTTATTGTAAAGATAGTATAAAAACATGAAATGACAGAGAGTTTTAAAATGTAAAGAAAAAACAAAGCAGCCGAAAGAGATTGGATCCATGTGTCAACTTTTACGTGCCTCCTTCTATGACACAGACCCTTCTAGCTTACGTCAGACTAATCTTTCTCTGAAAGGACTATAATTAATTGGTAGCTTATATACAACTTTATAATATGCGGTCAAATTTCGATTTAGTGTAATTATTTGTTTGGCACTAAATCAAATGTGGCGCTAAACAAGTTTCTCAAAACAAGATTTATGCAATGTGACTATGTCTGCATGTCGAGTGATTTAACGATACAATGTCGTTTACAGTATGAAATCCTGTATTTAGCGATTCACATATATTGAAAGGTTCTGTACTTAATATTTATGAAGGAAATTTATTTACAACTACTCAATGATGCTATACTAGAGTGGCATATTTAGGAGGGAGTAATATCGTATTTATAGACTAAATTCGGACGCAAGTATCAGAGACTCCACTTTTTACTAAATACAGTAAAACCTCGCTAAGTTGGATACCTGTAATGAAGACCTAAAGTTTGAGAGTGTTCAGGTTAGAGAGGTGTCCAACTTTCGAGATGTTACTGTAGTAATACATTTAAAAATATGAGACCCTAAGCCGCATCCTCGTAGAGTAAGATCCGAACTTGCAGCTTGTTTAGTTTACGTATAAATCTGGCTTAGTAGAAGGATAATATATTATTTTTTTTTAATTTATTTCATTATTTGTTCATTTTTTAAATTAAATCACATTTTTCTAGATTTCGTNCGAACCTGATTCACTACATCGAGTCGTGATACACAAGAAACCAACTCAACGAGGCGGAGTTGGGAAGGAACATTTTCAATAAGATCTTCACTCAGCCATAGTCCGTAAACTTCACACGTGTCGGGCTGTGATTGGCTGTGAATTGATTCATAAAGAACGGAACGTATCTACCGTCTTATAGTGGATCGACTGTACTCATTACTTAAAATTTTCTACTTCTCATATTGTATAATATATAATATTGATAATTTATTGTATTAATATTTTAAATGCCAAATAAGGCTTTAAGACAGGTATAAAATTTTAAAATGAGTGCCGAAATTTTCTAATTATCATATTTTTCAACTTATACCGACGATACAGATGAAAGCCGAACATAAAATTGTAAGTCTTTTTCAAGATTCGTTTTTACATTCAAGTAAAAATTAATTTAAAAATTTATTTAGAATCGACTGTACCATTTTTTAGTTATGTTCTTTTAATCGTAATTGAACAATTCATAATATTTCTTATAATTAATATCTTAAATACACTAAAATTAATGGCAGTTGACCTTCCCTAATGCGGATTTTTTTGCAAAACTTTTATACAGAACGTAAATGTTTTGTTGAAAGCCATAGTTAAGTATTTACTAGTGTTTCTATCTTATAAATCTTTGCTTCTCTAATATAATTGATTTATTAGATTATAGGAAAGGAATATTTGTGAGAAATCCGACATTCCTATAAAAGAATGCATTGCGACTAGCTGTATAACTTGTTTGTTTTCAAAGACATTATTTAATATTTATTACATTAATTAATTAATTCAATTTAAAAACTACCAAATCTTTTCGTAATTTATACTTTTACTACCTTTTATTTAGTAAAATTGTAATAAATTTAATGTAAATAAATAAAAAGTAAAGCATGTGTAACTTAATTTAATTTACAAGAATATAAAATAACTTCAAAAATTATGCACAAATTCATTCAGTTGTTAATATAAAAATAATATTTTCTTGTCAAGTTGTAAATATTCTGTCTAATAAATAAGTTGAAATTAATAATTAAATTATCATTAAAAAGTTAAATATGATTCTCTTTAAAAGAATAATACTTTTAATGAATTAGATTCGTTGTAATCATTTATTTTCGGATTTAATTCAGAAAAATAAAAATTAAATTTTTAAAAAGTGAAAACGAAATAATTTCTAAAATTTAATTAATAAATATTCATTTAATATTATTAACAATATTATCCATTATAATTGTGATTTTATGAATTTATTTAATTTTTAAAAATTTTATTCTTTTAATTGTAATATCATTAAATAATTTTTAATATAATTAAATAAAATTTTTAAAAAGCATTTATAATTCAAAGTTATTAATTTAAATATATTTTTTTTAATGTTGAATGAACTTTCTAAGAGGATTAAAACGTATTGAAACTTAAATATTAAATGTATTTTTAAACTTTAACAATTTATTATTTTTAATTTATGAAATTGGAATAAATTTTTTTAAATTTACAACTTATAAATTAAACTTATGTAAAATAATTTCTAATTTGTTCAATTTAATAATTTAACATCAAAATTTAAAAACAAATTAAATAAATTAGGGAAATTTTATTAAATAAATAAACTTAATTTATGGCTAAAAAAACAATAAATTTATAAAATAAAGAATCAGGTAAAATAAGTATAATATTATTTAATTTATAAGAAAGCGTTTATTACATTTAATCAACAGGAACTAATTATATTTACTTATTTAATATCAATAAGAATTTATTTAATTAATATCTTTTAAAATATATTTATTATACAAATATAGGCCTAATAAAATAGTCTGTAAACACGTAAAGAAATTTAAAAGTAAAACTATTTAACAATTTTATAAATAAAAGATTTTTAATTTCTATAACTTATAAATTTGCTTAAAAGTTTATTATTAATTAAAGCGCATAATTTTACTAATTTCATCATTGGAAACTAAATTTCCAAATATGTTTTTGCTTACTGAATTTCATCATAATAAAAAGTAATTAATTAAATACAGCAAAACTGAATTTAGCTCCATCAAACTGTTTGCATCTGAAATTGGCACTCGATTTAGTGACAATTTTAGATGTGGTCTGAGGATAAGAATGTTGTTATTCATTAAATTTGTATAAAAGGATTGATTTATTTAAGCTATATTTAACGTAGTATTTTTAAAAAGTAAAGTTGTAA